GTTTTTGTAGCTACTGACTTTTTTCTTTTTGTATTCAGCTGGAACTCAGGTTTAAGTATTAGCTGGAATTTGGCTTCAAATTGCTAGTGTATCTAAACCTGCTAGTACATCTAACACTCCCCTCCCCCCGGACTGACAATGCTGCTGTCTGCTGTGCTCAGTGGGGGCGCTGTAATACAGGAGGTGTGTTACTGGTCAGATCACCAGGTGAAAACAGAGGGGGAAGCCTAAAAAAAGAGAACTAATGCAGGCCATAGACAGTTCGAAAACCGGCCAATTTTTAAAAAAAGAGATAAAAATCAGTCATTCGATTGGCCGATGTTATCACCAACGGTAAAAAAAATCGGCCGATTTTCATCCAGTCTACGGCCGGCATTTAACCCCATAATTACTTCTGTCCCTGCAGAGAGCTCCACTATTATACTTTATATGAAAAAGTCTTGTGGTTGCAGCAATGTATCCATTTGTATCCATTTTGGATACAGATGTTTTTATTCGGATATAAATGGATACATTGTTGCAACTGCAAGACTTTTTCATATAAAATATAATAGTGGACTGGAATTCTTCTTCTTCTTTTTTTTCTTCTTCTTCTTCTTCTTGCAGATCACGGCTCATGCCCATCATTGCCGGGGAAATCAACCGATCGTCAAAATCGGCCGCAAAATTTCCAACATAACCGATAAAAAAAGTGCCAAAACCCCAAAAAACAGTCGACCAATTAACCCACTAATGGTGTGAAAATCGGCCAATTTTTTTTCGGCCGATTTTCGACCTGTCTATGGCCTGCATAATGCAGCCACCATATCTAATGATTGCTAAGTTGCAATATATGACATTTTTGGTTTTGGGTTTAATACCGCTTTAATAAATGAAATCTGCGGATTATGTATGGACGCCAGCGTTGACTTTTTCGAGAAGCAAGTGAATGGGGCTGATGGAGTCCAGCTGGGAGGCTGACAACCGCTGTATGATGACAACAGCCTGGGGGTAGCGCTAAGCTCGTTTGTTTCATTATTAGAATGTTAAAAGGATAAAAGTCCCGGAACGCGTCCCATGAGCTCACACAGGACAGGTGTAATTGCTAGTAAGTCACAAAGGCGCAGAGAATGGATCAGCAACTATTATTGTGCAGAAAGCCATTAGGGTAGGTTCACACCTATGCAGTTTGCGTTTGATCCGTTTATGCAGTGCGTTTTGCGTTTTTGATATGTTTTTTGATGTGTTTCGCATTTTTTTTTCTTTTTTCAACTTGTTGCTGGGCAGAATAAAACACAAAACGCATCAAAAATGCATCAAAAAATGCATAAAAAACACATCAAAAACACACTACATGCTTTTCTGCAGCGTCTCCATTGAAGTCTATAGAACCAAAAGCGCAACATTTTGCGTTTAAAAAAGTCCCTGACCCTTTCCAAAAAACAAGACACTCTGATGGGGACCCTGATGTAAGAAGAGACTTTGATGGGCACCCTGATGTAAGGGGGGACTCTGATGGGCACCCTGATGTAAGGGGGGACTCTGATGGGCACCCTGATGTAAGGGGGGACTCTGATGGGCACCCTGATGTAAGGGGGGACTCTGATGGGCACCCTGATGTAAGGGGGGACTCTGATGGGGACCCAGATGCAAAGAGAGACTCTGATGGGCACCCTGATGTATGGGGAGACTCTGATGGGCACCCTGATGTAAGGGGGGACTCTGATGGGCACCCTGATGTAAGTGGGGACTCTGATGGGCACCCTGATGTAAGGGGGGACTCTGATGGGCACCCTGATGTAAGGGGGGACTCTGATGGGCACCCTGATGTAAGGGGGGACTCTGATGGGCACCCTGATGTAAGGGGGGACTCTGATGGGGACCCAGATGCAAGGAGAGACTTTGATGGGCACCCTGATGTATGGGGAGACTCTGATGGGCACCCTGATGTAAGAGGAGACTCTGATGGGCACCCTGATGTAAGGGGAGACTCTGATGGGCACCCTGATGTAAGGGGAGACTCTGATGGGCACCCTGATGTAAGGGGAGACTCTGATGGGCACCCTGATGTAAGGGGAGACTCTGATGTGGACTGCAATGTAAGAGGTATTCTGATTGGGACCATTATGTAAACAGGGACTCTGATGGGGACACTCCGATGTAAGGGGGACTCCGATGTAAGCAGGGATTATGATGGGGACTCGTTTTGTTCACGAAGCTGCAATGGGGATCCTGATTTAAACAGAGACGCTTATGGGGACTCAGATGTAAGGAGGACTCTGATGGGGACACTGATGTCAGGGGTATTCTGATGGAGAACCTGATGTAAACAGGGACTCTGATGTAAGGGGACTCCGAAGTAAGCAAGGACTCTGATGGGGACCCTCATGTAATAAGAGACTCTGATGGACATTCTGATTAAAGGGGTATTCTGATGGAGACCCTGATGTAATGGGGACTCCGGTGTAAGCTGGGATTATGATGGGGACTCGTTTTGTTCACGAAGCGGCATGTCGCACTCGCAGTGCCATTCATCGTTAGTGGCCTCCCAGATGCCATGAGCAGACGTGGGTTTTTTGTGTAGGTCAAAAGACGCGGTTAAAAACCGCACGAAGCTCAATGCCCAAGAAAAGGTACATAAAGCTAGTCTGGTGCAGGGGCAGACTGACAACTCATGGGGCCCCTGGGCAATAGGGGATCATGGGGCCCCTGTGTCCTTGCCCAAACTCAAAAAAGCCTATGAAAAAGGTACCAGGGGCATCTCATGGGGCCCCCTACTGACCCCGGGCCCTCGGGCAGTGCCCGAGTTCCCAAATGGTCAGTCCGCCCCTGGTCCGGTGTATTTGTTGAGTGTAGGGCGGACCATTAAAAATAAACATGCGCAAAAAATCATTCAGAAACGCACATTCACCTCTGTGATCCTAGCCAGCCTTAAACCTGCCATACATGGATCAAAACTGAGCCGGTCCTTGCTGAACCTGACGGATTTCGATCCATGTGTGGGCATGCTGGCTATACAGAAGCTGAACTACCAATTCATTTCTATACAACCACCCTGTCAGATTTTTCCTCGTTCGATCAGCACCGCTGGCTATGGCCTGCAGCACTGATCAGCACAGGCTAAATGGTTAGCACTTCCGCCTGGCAGTACTCGGGTCGTCGGTACGAATCCCAACCACAGCACCCCCTGCCTGGAGTTTGCATGTTCTCCCTGTGCCTGCGTGGGTTTCCTCCAGGTACTCCGGTTTCCTCCCGCCTCCACAGACATGCTGGTAGGTGAATTGGCTCCTATCTAAATTGTCCCTAGTATGTGTATGTATGAATGTGAGTTAGGGGGACCTTAGATTGTACACCCCTTGAGGGTTCGGGACTGATGTGAATGTACAATATATATGTAAAGTGCTGCGTACATTGATGGTGCTATATAAGTACCTGGAATAAATATTGTGAAGTCTTCCTGCGGTCAGAATACAATCACTTAGCGGGAAGGATTCCCTCATCCACATCAAATGTGCGGATGGGGCAATCAGGGTTTTTTTTTTTGTTCAACCCACGAGATGAATATCTATGGGCTGCCTTAAGCCGGTCATGGATGGATTCCGGTCAACATTTGATCCATCTATGGCCAGGCTGCTTGTCCTGAAGTTGATCCATTGATCGACTTCAGTGCAACCAGCCTATCAGATATTTTGCATACAATCACCGCTGGTGGCTATAGCTGCCAGCAGGGATCATTGCGTTCTGCCAGCCGAGAAGGCTGAACCTGCCGGGAGAATGATACAGCAACGCAGGAGGGATTCCCCCACCAGCACTGACTGTGTCAATGGGGGAATCAATCAAGTGATTTTCTGTCCTTCCACCCGTGGTGGAAGGAAAGAAAATGGTATCATCTATGGCCGGCCTTAGAGAGACCACAATTCATAGGGAACTAAGAAGCCACAACTGACAGATTATAGCCCACAACTTCCCAGAAACAACAGAGTACAATGAAAGTGTATGTAGATGGTCAGAGACTGAGGACTGTACTTCCTCTACCCATAGCGAGCACTTAACACTTGCAGTACTTAGGTTTTACCCCCCCCCCCTTCCTCATCATCATTTACATAAAAACTTTCCATTTTCATTAAATACTTACAGCTATGTTCAAAAGTTTGCATCCCCTGGCAGAAATCATGACATTTTGGCATTAATATTGAAAATATGACTGATCATGCCAAAAAACTTTTTTTTAAGGATAAGCATTTAAAGTGTTTCTAAACCCCGGTCCCCGCATTCACTATATCTGGTCTCCCCAGACCCTGCATTCACTATATCTGGTCTCCCCAGACCCTGCATTCACTATATCTGGTCTCCCCGGACCCTGCATTCACTATATCTGATCTCCCCGGACCCCGCATTCCCTATATCCGGTCTCCCCGGACCCTGCATTCACCATATCCGCTCTCCCCGGACCCCGCATTCCCTATATATCCGGTCTCCCCGGACCCTGCATTCACCATATCCCCGCTCTCCCCGGACCCCGCATTCACTATATCTGGTCTCCCCGGACCCTGCATTCACTATATCTGGTCTCCCCGAACCCTGCATTCACCATATCCGCTCTCCCCGGACCCTGCATTCACCATATCCGCTCTCCCCGGACCCTGCATTCACCACCCTGCATCACTATATCCGGTCTCCCGGACCCTGCATTCACTATATCCGGTCTCCCCGGACCCTGCATTCACTATATCTGGTCTCCCCGGACCCTGCATTCACTATATCTGGTCTCCCAGTACCCTGCATTCCCTATATCTGGTCTCCCCGGACCCTGCATACACTATATCCGGTCTCCCTGGACCCTGCATTCACTATATCTGGTCTCCCGGGACCCTGCAATCACTATATCTGCTCTCCCTGGACCCTGCATTCACTATATCCGCTCTCCCTGGACCCTGCATTCACTATATCCTCTCTCCCTGGACCCTGCATTCACTATATCCTCTCTCCCTGGACCCTGCATTCACTATATCTCCCTGGACCCTGGTCTCCCCAGACCCTGCATTCACTATATCTGGTCTCCCCAGACCCTGCATTCACTATATCTGGTCTCCTCGGACCCTGCATTCACTATATCCGGTCTCCCCGGACCCTGCATTCACTATATCCGGTCTCCCCGGACCCCGCATTCACTATATCTGGTCTCCCCGGACCCTGCATTCACTATATCTGGTCTCCCCGGACCCTGCATTCACTATATCTGGTCTCCCCGGACCCTGTTTTCACTATATCTGGTCTCCCCGGACCCTGCATTCACCATATCCGCTCTCCCCGGACCCCGCATTCCCTATATCCGGTCTCCCCGGACCCTGCATTCCCTATATCTGGTCTCCCCGGACCCTGCATTCACCATATCCGCTCTCCCCGGACCCCGCATTCACTATATCTGGTCTTCCCGGACCCTGCATTCACTATATCTGGTCTCCCCGGACAATGCATTCACTATATCTGGTCTCCCAGTACCCTGCATTCCCTATATCTTGTCTCCCCGGACCCTGCATTCACCATATCCGCTCTCCCCAGACCCTGCATTCACCATATCCGCTCTCCCCGGACCCTGCATTCACTATATCTGGTCTCCCAGTACCCTGCATTCCCTATATCTGGTCTCCCAGTACCCTGCATTCCCTATATCCGCTCTCCCCGGACCCTGCATTCACTATATCCGGTCTCCCTGGACCCTGCATTCACTATATCTGGTCTCCCCGGACCCCGCATTCCCTATATCTGGTCTCCCCGGACCCAGCATTCACTATATCCGGTCTCCCCAAACCCTGCATTCCCTATATCTGGTCTCCCTGGACCCTGCATTCCCTATATCTGGTCTCCCGGGACCCTGCACTCACTATATCCGCTCTCCCTGGACCCTGCATTCACTATATCCTCTCTCCCGGGACCCTGCACTCACTATATCCGCTCTCCCTGGACCCTGCATTCACTATATCCTCTCTCCCCGGACCCTGCACTCACTATATCCGCTCTCCCCCGGACCCTGCATTCACTATATCCGCTCTCCCTGGACCCTGCATTCACTATATCTGGTCTCCCCGGACCCTGCATTCACTATATCTGGTCTCCCCAGACCCTGCATTCACTATATCTGGTCTCCCCAGACCCTGCATTCACTATATCTGGTCTCCCCAGACCCTGCATTCACTATATCTGGTCTCCTCGGACCCTGCATTCACTATATCCGCTCTCCCCGGACCCTGCATTCACTATATCTGGTCTCCCCGGACCCTGCATTCACTATATATCTGGTCTCCCCGGATCCTGCATTCACTATATCCGCTCTCCCCGGACCCTGCATTCACTATATCTGGTCTCCCCGGACCCTGCATTCACTATATCTGGTCTCCCCGGATCCTGCATTCACTATATCCGCTCTCCCACATTACACAGAACATGGAAGTGCAATTATTTTAGTAAATATAAATTGCTAAATACCTTTTCTCATCAGCAGTCTAGATCAGTCTTGTGACTTCTATCAGTGTCCAGCTAAGCATTGGTTAATGCTTGTAGGTGGAGTTCTCATTCTCCTCTGACTGTCCAACGAGGCTGCATGACCCCTGACCTCTGTCTGGACAGAGCTGATCACATGCACTCTCCAAGAAAAAAAAACTCTCTAGCAATACACACCAAACTGAGCAAGTGCAGAGCGTCTTCACACAATATGTCTCATCAGGAGATAAGAGGGGGACACTGGAAGAAGGGGAGGATCAGAGAAGACAGGATCAAACAGTGTTTTTACACAAAGCAGAGGATTAAAACCTTAGGTTCCACAGCGAGTATAACAAGCATGCTTTACTGCAAATACATACTGATTGTACTGTTGGGGGTTTAGTAACACTTTAAGGATAGTGATCATATGAAGCCATTTATTATCACACAGTTGTTTGGCAACTTCTGAAACCATAATGATAACAGAAATCACCCAAATGGCCCGGATCAGAAGTCTCCGCCCCTGGATCAGAAGTCTCCGCCCCCTGGATCAGAAGTCTCCGCCCCCTGGAATGTTTGGCCTTGGTACAGACACACAAGGTGACAACATGGGTTAAAATGGCAATTACAGGTTAATGTCCCACATCTGTGGCTGTTTAAATTGCAGTTAGTGTCAGTGTATAAATAGTCAATGAATTTGTTAGCTCTGACATGGAAGCACTGACTAGGCTAGATACTGAGCCATGGGAGCAGAAAAGAACTGTCAAATGACCTGCGTAACAAGGTAATGGAGCTTTAACAAATGTGGAAAAGGATATAAAATATATATCAAAAGCTTTGAATATGGCAGCCAGTACTGTTCAATCACTTACCAAGAAAATTCGGGGATCTCTGCATACCAAGCCAGGGTCAGGTAGACCAAGAACGACTGCAGCCACAGCTACCAGAAGAATTGTTCGGAATACAAAGAAAACCCCACAGGTCACCTCAGAAGAAATACAGGCTGCTCTGGAAAAAGACAGGCAGGGCAGCACAGTGGCTAAATGGTTAGCACTTCCACCTGGCAGTACTCGGGTCATTGGTTCAAATCCCAACCATGGCACCACCTGCCTGGAGTTTGCATGTTCTCCCTGTGCCTGCGTGGGTTTCCTCCGGGTACTCCGGTTTCCGCTATATAAGCACCTGGAATAAATAAATAATTCTCCAAGGGGAGGCAAACTTTTGAGCACAACTGTAATTTTAGACCCAGTGATGTCATCACTGGGTCACTGTGCTTCTCTAGGCAATGCAATCAGATCATGGTGGGAGGGCTGGGCAGGGTGCTGTACATAGCTTCCTGTAAACATCACAGCCCTTAGGAGGAGTTTTGCAAATATCAAAATGGCTTGATGGGGTGGGCGTCAGTCTGGAGAAGTGGGTGTTCTAGGGCAGGCTGCGTTTGCACATGTGATGCGGAATCTCCAAGAGCAAAAGAAAAGGGGCGGGGCCAGGAAAACAGACAGGCGGGGGAGGAATGAGCTAGATGATGCTGGATATCCTTCAAGCCTGTCTGACTTGCTGCAGCTTCTAATGCACATTGTGAGCAGCTCACAGTGTGCAGTGAAACCAAAGTAAGCCATTCCAGTCCAGGACGGGAGGCAGTACCACTGTGAAAGACTGAAGGGAAAGCCGGAGTTCCTCCTTAACGTTACAAAGCAATGAAGTGAGGGCAGCACACGGGCTAAATGGTTAGCACTTCCGCCTGGCAGTACTCGGGTCGTTGGTTCAAATCCCAACCATAGGCACCACCTGCCTGGAGTATTGCATGTTCTCCCTGTGCCTGCGTGGGTTTCCTCCGGGTACTCCGGTTTCCTCCCACAGTCCTGGTAGGTGAATTGTGGCTCCTGTCTAAATTGGCCCTAGTATGTGTATGTATGAAATGTGAGTTAGGGACCTTAGATTGTACACCCCTTGAGGGTTAGAGGACCTTAGATTGTACCCCCTTGAGGGTTAGGGACTGATGTGAATGTACAATATATATGAGGGTTAAAGTGCTGTGTAAATTGATGGCGATATATATGTATAAGTACTTATGAAAGAAATCAATAAATAATGCACAAAATACGCCGAGTGCTGCGTAAACTGACGGCGCTTTACAAGTACAATAAATAAATAACAAAATGAAAGAAGTTTTTTTTTTTAAAGGGACTTAAAGATACTTTAAGGAAAGAAACGCAAAAAGTCAAAGAACTGGTGCAAAGATTTTTAAATTTGGGAAAAAAGCGACACGTGACAACCCATGACAACATGTGACAACCGGTGACAACATCAGTTCTACACATTCCCAAACAAATGTCAATATGATCCTCAGCACATGCTGCTGTTTTGTCTCCTATTTTCCACCCAGGAAATCAAAAACGAATCAGCAGAAGGTTCTCTTTGCTGCGTTTTTTTTTTTCTTTTTTTTTTTATATACTTAATCCATTCCACTTGCAGTTTCGGATGCAGCTGTCCCGGCCCTCATGCCAGAGATTCCTCCGCGACTTTATTTGTGGTGTTAAAACAAGTTTGCGTGGAGCACAGGAAGCCTCTTGTTGGGCCGCACAACCCGATGGCTCCCCCCCCCCCCCTACACAGATCAGGCACTCAAGGCATGCATAGTGATCAGGTTAATGAGGTCTACAACACCCAGAGTGATCAAGGTCAAGGGGCAACCTTTTCAAAGGACATTTTTTTTTTTTTTTTCTTAAGGAAAGGTTGGAAGTTGCTCTTTTTACCTCTGTGCACAGCGAGGGTTCAAAGTCAGGCTGATCCCTGGGTGTCCTTCCTATGGCCAGCTTGGCCCGCATGCACGGTGGGGAGAGGTTTAAAGGGCTGGTGCCACCAAGTCCTGTCCATAACGGTCACATGGCCTGTGCTATAGGAATGTGCATCATGTAGAATATATTTGTAAAGCGACGTGCAACCCGTTGACACATTAAAAGTCCTGAATTAAATAATAATAATATTAATACAACCACTAATAATAATAATAATAAATAAAAATAATGGTCACAGGGCCCAATCAGGATCAGCCTGACAGGGGGGGGGGGGGGGGGCCTATGTGACTACGTCACATTGTATCAAAGTGTCATTTCCTTCAGTGTTGTCACAATGAAAGATAGAATCAATTATTTACAAACATGTGAGGGGTGACTCACTTCTCCCCAGGAGATATATATATATATATAATAATATATATATATACATTGTATACTGTCTGGGGGAGGGGTGGACACACTTCTGGGATATATATAATATATATATATACACATTGTATCAACAGTCCTGGAGGGGGGGTGTCCACACTTCTGGGAGATATATATATATATATACATTGTATACCAGTCCTGGGGGAGGGGTGGACACACTTCTGGGAGATATATATATATATATATAATACACATTGTATACAGTCTGGGGTAGGGGGTGACACACTTCTGGGAGATATATATACATACATTGCTCTATAACAGTCTGGGGAGGGGTGACACACTTCTGGGAGATAATATATATACATTGTATACAGTCCGGGGTAGGGGTGGACACACATCTGGGAGATATATATATAATACATTGTATACAGTCCCAGGGGAGGGGTGGACACACTTAGTCTCTGGGAGATATATATATATATATATATACATTGTATACAGTCCGGGGGAGTTGGGTGACACACTTCTGGGATAGATATATATATTTACACATACATTGTATACAGTCCCGGGAGGGTGTGGACACACTTCTGGGAGATATATAT